CTAGGCTTGAAAGTTGCTTCAAATTCCACTTTGTATTATCTTTCTCAAGTGAAATACACCACTTATCTTTATTCCTGAGCAGGATTTACTAATAACAATATTGCTACAACTCCCATTGAAACTAATGTCAAATTCGGACGCCTCTTCTGAATCCTACACTTTATTAACAGATGACTGACAATCTTGTATATCTCATTATTACCCGTTTTGATATCACCTACGTTATTCACTTTGTCAATCGATTTCTGACCGTGCTGCGTATGACTCACTTTGCCGTTTTCTTTTTTCGCATTTGTCGCTATGTCAAAGGTACCTTAGTACATGGTGTTCACTTTTTTGCTTACTTTGCCTAAGAGTTGAGGGCTTATTTTGATTCCGACCCTCCTGATTGCCGTTCCACTATAGGCTACTGCTTCTTTCTAGGTAACTCAGTCCTCTCTTGGGTGTAACAAGAATCATATTGCTGTCACTAGATCCAGGGTCGAAGTGGATGTCGTGCTCTTGCTGATACAACATCAAAATTACTATAGTTGCAATGGTTATTAGTAGGCATGGGAGTCCATCATAATGGTGGAACAGTGATTTAGGGTTAATATCGTGAAAAATCCTAAAAATGTACACATGTGACAAATTTACCAAAAAAAATAAATTCTAAACCGGTACACTAGTGACAATTTACTCTCTGTTAATTTCCGTTAAATTTTACCGTCAAATTGCTGAGTTAATACCATAAAAAATCTCAAACTGATACACCTATGATAAATTTACCTAAAATTAATTTTTGAGTAATTAAAAACTCCAAACTAGTACACGCGTAATACATTTACCATATGTTAGTTTTTGCTAGCTAGTTAACATGGCAAGTCCACGTGAGGTAAAGAATCTTATGCTGAAATAGATATGCTAATCTTCGCTTTTCTACTTCTGTTTAATCAGTGTGACCATTCATCATGGCAACATCCTGAGGTAAAGAATCTCTGTTGTTCTTTACAAACTCATGTTTCCACAATCACAAGGATCTCTTTTGTTCTTTACCTCAGGATATTGCCTTTGCTGGATGTACTCATTTTATTTTAATAGCAAAGCCTTTTTCTTTTTGGTAAAATTTTGTAGTGAATTAGAAAGAAAAAAAATTCATGTATTGATGATATAGAGGCAACGTTAGAGAAATTTGGAAAAGAAACTTGATTGCACATCACAACTGAGCATGATTGCTTTGTTCATTGACCTAGATTTATCAAGAAAAGTGTCATTAAAGAGTTCTCGCTAAATGGTATTCAAAATTTCCGCGACTTTAGACAAAGACGACAATGAAGGACTCGATGAAGAGGAAGACAATCTAAGGTTTTTTATGTTCAGAGAGAGAGAGAGAGAGAGAGAGAGAGAGAGAGAGAGAGAGAGAGAGAGAGAGAGAGGTGTTACGGATTTCCACAAAAATAATGTAATGGATTTCTACATGGATTTGCCATATTATTTAACGGAGGGCAAATGTGTCATGCGTGTACTAGTTTGTGGGTTTTTGGTGACCATTGATGTAAATTTGTCATAAGTGTACTAGTTTAGGGTTTTTATGATATTAACCCTTCTGATTTTCACGCGAACTTGCTACATCAATTGCCACGTGTCATCCAATTAAGTCATTTTACGGTAAAAACGGAAACTAACGGAGGGTAAATTTATCACAGATGTACTAATTTGGAGGTTTTTGGTGATCAAAAAATTAGTTTGAGATAAATTTATCACATGTGTACCAATTTAAGGGTTTTCGTGGTATTAACCCAATAATTAATTACTACAAGTAGAGTATTATTTAAATAGCCCATAATGATATTTTCCCTGAGCGCACTAAGTATATTGAAATAGACTTTTATGTTATATGATATCACGTCCTTCATTGGACTGTACGACTCGTCTTCACTTCATTTGTCGAGCAGACTGTTGGTGTCTGCACAAAGGCACATTCACTTGAGCGTTTTCAAGATGTTTTCTCTAAACTTTGGTTGACCTCTTCTATGTCACCTTGAGTTTGAGGGAGTGTTAGAGATATGTAGGATATTTATGAGATTTTGTTATCATTCTGGTTGATTGTAATTGATATTGTAATATTTTGCTGCTTTAGATAGCCATCTTGTAAAGCCTATGAATAAACTTATATATTCTTCATTACATATAGAAAATTATACAGAAGATTGCACAATTCTCATTTTCACTTTATTCTTATCATGGTAGTAGAGTTAGTTTTATCCCTTCACTGTGTGCGTCTACCCCCCATTAATCAGATTTCTCGTGCCGCCCCTAGTTCGACTTGTACGTGAGATGGAGGTTGAAGTTCTCACATCATTCTGCAATGGCTTTTAGCTCTTTATATACATGTGATCTCTCTTCATTGCTCCACCTGACAGAGCAAGCTTTTATATTGATCTTCCTAACATGTCAATCAAAAATAAGAAAATAAAACAATTCATTCATCGCAGACAAAAATTTAATCGGTGAGGTGGGGGCGTCCGATGATCGTGAATCGGACAAGGGCCCTCTTAAAAGTGGCAAATTTCGACCAATTTGGAGAGGGCCATGTGACTTGTCCTAAGCTATTGCTTTTAGAGCTTCTGTCGAATTGACGGGGTCGTTTTCGAATTCAATTCATGGACTGCAACAAAAGCTTGGATGATTATTGAAGACATTACGGATGTCCGAGCTGTTATGCCCCCCAATTGATCCTTGGGACGACCTACTTTGTTGAGTTTTTCAAAAGTTCTCATCAAGTGGATTGGCGAATGAGTTTTGAACGTTTTATTTCGGTCGATTTGATCTTTCATTGTTTCCAAGTGACGCGATTAACTTTTAATCGGGACTACCATAAATTTCTTGCAGGAGTTGCTTCTCCAATTTGAGGTTTCGTCAACCATGAGACTTTCCATTACTTCGCACCGAATCGACGCAGACTCAACATTAGGGCATTTAAGGAATGTGCGGATATTGCACATTGCATATACTTTCAGTCACTAAATATTTCTCCAAACTTTGTGTCCAATTAATTGCACTTCTAACTATATCGATTCAATGTAAAATCCCTTTCCAATTAGGTCCCCAACTACACGCACATGAAAAGTGTCCATCCAATGTAACGCATTTCTCCCCTCCGTCGGACGAATCGAAATCACTTTGGATTCAGAATGGGGGGAACTCTGACGGCACACCCTCCGACAATTGGGAAAGTGTTAGTGTCTGATTCCTATCTCTAGCAAAACCCTTCGTCCATCCGCCCTTCCACCCTTCCACCCTTCCCTTGTCTTTTTCTCTTCGTTCATCTACCTTTCCACTCCCCCTCGCCTTTTCTTTCTTCGCTTAAGCTCCATTAAATGAGTAATTTGAAAAACGATTTTCTGAAAATGATGATTTGCATCGCTTGAAATTATTAATCAATATAAGATGTTTTCATTATTGACTACAATTTATGCCTAAATATTTCCGTAGACGATGAAAATATTTTTTGTTTATTCATTTTTATAAGTGATGCAAACGACAATTTTTAGAAAAATATTGTCCAAACCATTCATCTTCTTGAAAATAACGAAGCCTTAGAAAACGATATTAGTTTTGCTACCAATCCCACTTTCCGCTCTTCCAAACGAGATGAATACATTTCACGGGGCGACTCGCGGATCACACTAATATATCATCACCGTATTTGCATTCTGTTAATGTACTGAGTTGTCATCGATGTCTATAGTTGAAATCAAGTTATCCAATTTCATTGAACTTTAAGGTGATTTTTCATTGAAATCATAGTTTTATGTGATATCTTCTACAAATGTATTTTTGGTTAAAGGGTTAAGATGAGCACGAAATACTCTTATAATCATTTAACAGCTAAAAAAAGTATTTTGCTTCCAGGAATTCAAGTTTTTTGGGGCCCAGAACGTTCTTGAGGGTGGGTGTTGTACCATTAGAAATTTAATAGGGGGTACATGAACACATTAAAAGCAAAGCAAGAGACGTACTGCTCGCTTAAGGAAAGAAAAATGGAATCCTAGAGTCTAGAGAAATCGTAATATCTCTTCTTCTTCTTTTTTTATTTCAAGTTGCCATACGGTCGTTCTAGATCATATAGTAAACGAAAGAGCCATCAAGTTTAGAATCGTCGATGGAGTGCAAAATAAAAAGTGCAGAAGAAACTTTAACACAAGAAACACAGTCACTTGTGGTCGATAATGATTCCCTCTTGTGATTCACCTAATTGACAATGTCATGTAACGTTGGATTGTAGCGAGACATCCATGCATCGTCGATTGAACTGTCACTAGGATAAAATCCCGAGTACACATGTCGCTACCTGGCCATATCTCCTTTGTGAGAAAACGGGAGGGAGAGAGAAAATTTGGATGGTAACTTGGAAGAAATCTAAGATTTTTATAAGGTGGTTGACAATGTCAACTTTGATGTTCGGGGCAAAGGGGGCAAGATTGTAGCTTCGATGGCGAATATAGTCTTGAAGATTGTCGCATATCGACCGGCCGATTGTGTAGTGACCTGACTTTTAACACGTTGAAAGGAAATCTTAATTGATCCTGTAACCGTTCAACGATCCGGTTGATTCTCGGGAATGCCGGCGGCGCAAGGTGGGTCGGAGTCCGGGCTCTTGGCGTTAGAAAGGAAAACCAAACCCAACAAATCTCAATACTTAGGAAGGGAAAGAGAATGGAAGGTAAATTACCCTCGACTCGCTCGAGCATGCATGCAAGAATTGCGAGCGCAAAATGCAGAGAAGAAGCCGGGGGGGGGAGTCGTCCGTTTGGGTGGTACGGGGGGGTCCGACGTGGGAGATGGAGGGGCGCAGACAGTGCCCTCTCGACGGTGGAGATGCCACGACTGCCCTGTTCCGTCGCTCATACGTGGCGCCATCCACAGCCACCGGCGGTTCTGACGCCACCTGGGCCCACCCCCGCGCGCCCCACTCCTCCTTATAAAAAAAACAATTCGCAGGTCTTTTTTTCAGTATCCCAGTTCGAGTCCTCCCTCTCTCCGCCCTGTTCAAAGTACGACGTCTACCAAAACCCGACAAACCCATGCAGCGCTCACCCAACTCTGCTGCTGATAATAGCGCTCGCGACCAACTCGGTCAATAGAGTGAGTCAGCATCTGAGTGAGTGAGTGAGCTGGTGAGGGAGCGAGCGAGGATGGGGAGAGCGCCGTGCTGCGAGAAGGTGGGGTTGAAGAGAGGGCGGTGGACGGCGGAGGAGGACGCCATCCTGTTGAACTACATCAAGGCCAACGGGGAGGGTCACTGGAGGTCCTTGCCCAAGAATGCAGGTCCATTTCGCTCTTTCTTTATTCTTGAACGAACGCGACACGAAGAGGAACTCACTGGAGAGTAGCCTGACTATACATGTGCACACTAACATTCCTTCTCCTGATACACGATAAAAACCTATAGTGACTAGAAATCCAGCTTAGAGAGTCCGACTGACGGGTTGTGTTTTCTTTTTCTGGGGACGGCCATAGGGCTGCTGAGGTGTGGGAAGAGTTGCAGGCTGAGGTGGGTGAACTACTTAAAGACAGACGTGAAGAGAGGCAACATCTCCTCTGAGGAGGAGAATGTTATCATCAAGTTGCATGCTTCTCTGGGTAACAGGTTCGAGTTCTTGCTCTTTCTTTCTCTTTTTACGTTCCAGAAATTCTTTATTTGTTTTCGCTCTTTTTGCTTTTTTCTGTTTTATTGCTAGTTTTCAGATGAACAACCGGAACCACAAAAAGACACCACCAACATTTTCCTAAAACAGATATATAATGTGTGTGTATATATATATATATAACAGTGAAATATATATGAAAAGACACTACACATCAAATGCTCTTTCTCTCTCTCACTGTCTCCCTCAACTGGAGAGAGTCTCAAGTCAGGGTCTGTGAAATAAGTTGGCTGCTGGGGATTGGTTATATATATATATATATATATATAACAGTGAAATATATATGAAAAGACACTACACATCAAATGCTCTTTCTCTCTCTCACTGTCTCCCTCAACTGGAGAGAGTCTCAAGTCAGGGTCTGTGAAATAAGTTGGCTGCTGGGGATTGGCCGCAATGGTAGGAGTTGATTTTTTTATTTCTGAGTCATCCTCGTTCCTTCTAGGGATAATGACAGTCTCCGAATGTTCGACTTAATGTACAATTTCATCCTTAAAATTTTAATTTATTTAATATAATTCCTGAATTTTAGGCTAATATTCAATATGACTTTTAATTTATTCAATATCATCCCTGAACTTTTAATATATGTTCAATTCAGTTCATGAACTATATGAAAATGTTCAATATAGTTCCCAAACTTGAATTAATGGAAAGAACTGTATTGAACATTTTTATGTAGTTTAGAGACTGAATTGAACATATACAAAAAATTCAGGGATGATATTAAACAAATTAATAGTGCATGAATAATATTAAATATTGAGTTATAGTTCAACGACTACATTGAACAAATTAAAAGTCTAGAAATCAAATTACATATTGGGCAAAAGTTCTAAGACTATTTGTGTCATTTTTCCTTCTTTCTATTTGATACTAGTCCTCTTTTGTCTCTTCTTCCTCATGCATCCGCATCTGTCATGCTTCACGAATTGATTATAAATACAAGGGAAAAAATCACCAAAAACCCCAAACTTTATTATTTGTGACACATTTACCCCGAAATTTTTTTGTGCCAAGAAAAACCCCAAACTATGTAACTTGTGACACATTTACCCCAATATACTGTAACCTAGGGCATTTTAGTCTTTTTCCCCTTTTCTATTTTTTTTCTTTTTTCCGGCTGGGGGCGAGGTCGCCGGCGAGGTCTCCGGCGACCTCGCCGGCGTCTGGGCGAGGACCCTCGCCTCGCCGGCGCCGGGCGAGGGACCCTCGCCCGCGAGGCGAGGTGATGGCGCCCTCGCCCGGGCGGGAGTGGGTTGCCCGCCGGCGTCGGGCGAGGGCTTCCCTCGCCCGCCTAGGCGAGGGTTGCCCTCGCCGGCGCTGGGCGAGGGCGGCCCTCGCCCGCCCAGGCAAGGGCGAGGAAGCCCTCGCCCCCGACGGGCGCGTGCGCCCCCGCCCAGGCGCGGGCGGCCTTCGCCTCGCCCGGGCGGGGCGAGGGTCCTCGCCCTCGCCGGCGAGGTCGCCGGGAGCAGCCCCTATCGGAAAAAAGAAAAAAAAAGCAGAAAAAAAATAGAAAAAAGGGAAAAAGACTAAAATGCCCTAGGCTATAGTATATTGGTGTAAATGTGTCACAAGTTGCATAGTTTGAGATTTTTCATGACACAAAAAAAAGTTCGTGGTAAATGTGTCACAAATGGTAAAGTTTGGGGTTTTTGGTGGTTTTTTCCCTAAATATAAAGCATCCGTTGTTGTTACCTTGGAGAGTGTGAAGTGTCTTACCTTGGGAAAGAACCAGCAGTACCCGGAAAAGAAGGATTAGATGTAACTGTGTTTCCTTCTGAGCCAATCATGTCGCATAACCTCTTAAGCGCAATGCGCGACCAAAGCGATGCTTCCGAGGCACCTAAATAATATTATCTGAAGAAGAGAACGTAAATGCCAGCGCTAATGGCAAGAATGGACAGAAGCTGTATAAATTTTCACAAGTAATGTATTCTGAGTTTCGTATCAATGACCGTTTGAGTAAAATACTATCACATAAAATATTTACTGAAAAATTAGGTAGTGCAGTATTTTTGCGTTTCCAATGATGTTGTCATCGATGCTTCATTTGTACATTTGAAATGTCACCTTTAAGATATTTATAAGAACGCAAAAGTTAAACGTTCTTCGTTGTTCAGAATGTCCAGGTGTAAAAGAAATTTTATTATTTTAGTAGGCGTACTGAATAATTCCCGTACGATATCGGGGCCCAAAAATAAAGTGATATCTCAATTCACACCAAAAAAAAAAAGTGATAAATGACACAAATCCTGTCGTTTCCCCTAGAAGAAAAAAGACGACAGAGATTTTGTCGTGTACCGTTGGCTATTCACTTCGTCAACTTTTTTTTGCCGGCCGTGTTTTCTCTCTTCAGTGCCTTTGATAGTGCTGAAAAGGACCTGGCGGTGATAATTTCGAGCCGATGGATTTAACTGTTGGTAAAATTTTATGTTTTCCTCAGAATTCCAACATAATAGATGTCTAGAGCGCTTATCAAGAGGACAAAAAGAAAAGTCCCTTATCAAAGGATTATCACAACGTTGCGACACAATGAAAATCGCAATGATTTCATGAGCATTATTAGCTAGTCCTTTTAGATTATTAATGAAGTTAAGAAGAAGTAGCATTTAATAAAACCGATTAAGATGTCTTGCTACACACACCCATAAATATTGTACATATATATACTATACGTTCCTCTATGTTAATTAGGAATATTAACGTTCTCAAACTAGAAAAAGTAAATCTTAACTAGTCTAGAAAGCTCTCTTTCACATTTATCTTTTGAAATGTGCTTATCATTCAAGTTTTAATTCACCAATTAGACAATGAACGCCCAGGCTTTTTGAATGCTTGTTAATGCAACCGTGTCGACATTTTTCTCATTTCGAAGAGGGCACCTACCTGTCGCGACCGCTTCGCGTAGGGAACTCTTCTCATGTTTCAAGCGCAATAAAAGTCTTGAAAGTTTGGTGACAATGTGGTCTAACTCTGACCGTACTAGAGTAATAAAGTCAAGCAACATTTATTTTTGTGCCGAGTGCTAAGAGGGACGTGGCCAAAGCATTGTCATACACACGCACATCCTCGCTGGCCCAATATTAGGGAAAAAGGAAGAAGAGCGAAGTCATTCCTCTAATTACGGAAGTCCGACAAGAGAGTTATTTTCAACATGCAATGATGCGAGAACGTAAGAACGGCCTAATCACGCAAGCGATGGATAGCGAAACGCCATGCAAGAGTCGCTTTCTCTTCTCTTAATATGGGCAAGGATCACATCGTACATTAAAAATGCGTAGGACCCCAGAGATCGTCATGGAAATGAGTTCGGTGGGGCTGTTCTTATCGTGCACTTTTACATGACATGGTGGGAAGCCAGGAAAGAGAAAGAAAACTTGTTTTTGTAGCTGGCAGTGCTTGCTAAAGCCGAAGCTTCACGTATGATGCTCGTATCTCTCTAGATTTCTCTTCTACCTTTGTGTTTTCTCCACTTTCCAGTCAACTTCAACATTTTCTTTCTTTTCTTTTTTGTGATCCTCTTTTGCATGTCAGTATCAATTGAAACGATTGGCTTTTTTTGGTGGGAGCAGGTGGTCTCTGATAGCCAGCCACTTGCCAGGAAGAACGGACAACGAGATTAAGAATTATTGGAACTCGCACTTAAGCAGAAAAATCGACACTTTTCGAAGACCATCCAATGATGAGCCGCTGCCTATGGTGATGAACCTCGTCAAAGTCAGTCCCCCAAAGAGGAAAGGGAGGACCAGCAGGCGGGAGATGAAGAAGAACAAGAACTTGCTCAGGCCGAAGAAAAACCCTAATAAAGAAACCAGTGTTAACTCCGACGTGCCTTTGTCGCCTGCCACACCACCGGTAGAGAGAGAGAGATTGTCCACCACCAAGACCGGTGCCGAGGATGAGGAAACTACGGGCAGAGAGAGTTTGGCTAGTGTTAATGTTGGTATTGTTCCTTATTCCCTCGGAGAAGATGGTGCGACGATGCTGTCATTGTCCTACGACCCGAGTGATCCATTAATGTTGAGCCCAAGTAGGGGGAAAGAGGGCGGCATGATAGTAGGACCATTGGAAGGCATTGATGTGGAGTTGTCGTCTTGCTTTAATGACATCGTGGACTTTGCCCTCCTTCAGGACTCAAGTGGGATTATGGACATGAGCATCGAGACAAGCGGGGATCAGGAGGAGGCTGCAGCAGTGGGCTCCGGGCTGGAGAGAAAGAATGGGGTCGGCCTCGAGTCGTCGCCACCGAGGGCGAACGCGGACGGAGATTGGATGGGCAGCGTTGGCGGCAGCGACTGGTTCTCTTGCGTGGAGGATGATAGTGTGAATTGGGATTGGGAGGACCATGTTGTTCAAGGACATGGCCATGATCAGGCGGCGGAGGAGAGGAATGGAGGCCAGGGCCAGGAGATGCTGACGTGGCTCTGGGAGAGCGATGTGGGAGACTGGGAAAGTCAAAGCATTGGGGAGGCTGACCGGGAGAAGCAAAACGCCATGGTGGCTTGGCTGCTTTCCTAGGGCGAATCTGTTAGGACATTAAACTTAGGTCACTATTTTTTGGGCTAAAATATTGGTGTGTTTACGAAGAGCAGGTAAAGAAAAAAACAGCAAGAAGTGGAGGGAATCAAGGCCTACGTGTTGATACGTTCCTTCTATGTATTTTCATTTCTCTTGCAGCCTAGTTCGTAGGAAGTGGCAATCAGCATGTGCTTCGTTTATCTTTGTTAATGTCTATTTTTTGGATTGTCTAGTCAGCCATGTTCACTTCTTGATGGTGTTTTACTAGGTCATTGATGAGGTGGTGTTCATTAGCTAGTTTCAAAGTTCAATTGGCGCTACTTCCCAATTCTTGATGGTGTGTTACTAGGTCATTGATGGTTTGTGTAGGAAAGAGGACATCCACCCAAAAAACTTAGAAAGAAAGAGGAGGGGGACTGGTGTCAATGTCGACAAGATTATGACTCCTGTGGCCCCAAAATAAGGTGGAAATAATTTTGAAACAAATGTGATAGCCTCTCTTTCAAGCTCTGTAGGTTCGATGGCTAGCCCTCGCAACATTTTTTTGAACACGGACAGTCCACGTTGCCAAAGAATCAGTAGGAAAAAGTAGATGTGATTGGTGATTCTATTATTTGCGGAGAAACCGATACATCGTTCGTAAAACCTCGCATCGTACTTTGTCATACTTCCCATGCCTAACGTCGTATAACAAATGGTTCAAACGTTTTTAAACGACCAAGATCTATTCGTTTGTAACTAAATCGACATAATTTTTCGAGGCCCCGATTTTCGGAGATTTTTTTTTGGAAATGTCCGCGTTTAGGATACGAGTTTTATCTTTCGCCCAGCCGTCCGGCATTGAGTTTGAATGGTCTTGCTTGGTTATTATTAGTTAACCTTAGCTGTCTATTTTTATCAAGCAAGGATTTTATTCTATGCTAAGTATCAAGTGAAAAGATGTAGATAGAATCATATGTTGGGAGGGAGCGAGGCATAATGCACTTATGGAAATGGTCGAGAGGAACACATTATACTCATTTCATGATATATAATAGGATAGTGGTAACGAGCACTTTTAGACCGTCGATTAAGCATGTCAAACATGAAATACCCCGACTTCCAAACTATCAATTACGTGTAATATGAGAGCGTCCACGCATTGAGCAAACGCAAAAGAACTCCCTCAATTTGTTACTTCACAGTACCCATCAATACACTCGTCAGCAAAACCCTAATGACAATTACACCATGCACCCGACGACCGGGGGTGCCAACGGCAGCCCCACGTCGTAAACCCCCATGGATGGTTCTGGACCGGTGTTAGACGAAACCGGTAGGTAAGCCGGATAACGGTTGCTGGATTAAATGGCGCGCATGAGCATATGGTGGTAGCGGCTAAGAGAGCTCCACATCATAACAAGTTAAATTAGTGATTGGTGGACCTATCTGTATTTATTATGGTACTATATGATTAGCAGAAAGTTGTGAAATGAAAAGGTATAGTACGAGTAACCCCAGTACAAGGGACCCGCACGCTGAATTGAGCAGAAAATAAAACCCGCCTTAATTTCGGGGGTCCAAGAACTTTTAGCTATTACACAATATCCTGTAATATGCATTGTTACAGCCTTTAACCATATTAAATTAATATAATGATGTTATGCAATTGAAGTTTGTTAAGATTTTGATAAATATAGCCACTTCGATGTAAAATAAGGTATCTCAAGAAAAAGAACAAACACAAGTTAAATAAAAGGGGAAAAGGCATCGATAACAAAAAAGGTAAAATGACAAATTTTGGTTACTCGTCATGTATATTTAAAGAGTTAAATAATGTAAAAAATTAACTATCGATAAAATTATTTGTAAAATTATAAAAGGAAATGATGTCCGTTACTCATAAAAAGATGATTAACCGAAATTTAAGGTGCTATTTTTGAATTTTTTATTATTCAATCCTTTTTTGCATCAGTTAACATTTAAAAATACAAAATGAGTACATAATTTTTGTAATTTGACCTTTTTGTTATCAATCAATCCTTTTTAGCATCAATCCTTTTTTGTATTGGGATACAGTTGATGCCCAATCATAGATTTCAACGGCATACGTACCCAAATCTCACGTTACATGTAGAAAACGTGTTTTAAAAATACTCGAATAATTTATAGCTGATAAAAATCAGTCATATTTCTTGTAAAATATGTATAGCTTTATTCTATATATATATGTATATATATATATATATTTATATTTAGAATGTTAAACCTAAAAAGTTTAGTTGTGAAGTGGAAAGAGACTACACAAATATAAGACCCATAGAAACCTTGTAGACATGTGATGTGGGTCTTATTAGGAATGTGAACGGCATGTGATATTGATGAATGGGGAGCTTCACAAGTGAGAAATAAGTCAGTAGCGAACCTAGCTTTGTTACTATTTTAAAACGTCTAGTACCAACAGTTTAAGTTAATAGGTGGAGGGAAACTATTTAACTATTATCGAGTTAGTTCATTACCGATTAAGGAGAGGAATGAGACCCATAGAAATCTCGTATACAAATAATACGAATTTAACACCCCTTCTCAAGTGGAAACTGAATTGCGAACATGGAATTGATGAAAAGAGAGTCTTACGCGTGCCTAAAAAAAAAAACTTGGCATTGTCGCTATTTTAAAATTTGTCCAGCTCCAAAAGTTTAAATAATTGGGTGGAGATAAGTACTAATGTGGGACACGTTAACAGTTTCAGACGAAACTTTTGAGAACTTTTATTATGGAAACAACCTATGTCAAAACACAAATTACACAAGAAAGATGAAATAATCTCTTGATAAGCGTGCATAATTTAAGTGTTTAGTAATTATTTCATGCACACACATGTCAAGAAACTATCAAACAACGATGGAATTAGTTCTTCACAGATTGTGTATTATGCACGAAAACTCCTCGCTCCTTCGACTCCTCTCTTATCTCCAACAAGAATGAAAACAAAAGAAACAGCCGGTGAGTCTTCCAAATAGCAACAATCATATCACCACAAACGACAATTGCCCAATCATGAAATGGAGCGATCAAAAGAATTGCCCGACAAGGGACGTGAGTTCTGTTTAAGGAATGAATTGTAACGCTTCGTACTCTCTTGGTACTAAGGAAAAGACGAGGATTCGGTCCATTAAGGGTTATGGTCCACCCCTCCTGAATGCGACCGATTTCTCCTCTTTTGCGATTAATTTCGCTACAGCACTTGCTGCTCTAGCTAATCGTCTACCATCCCACCTTTTGTTCCGAGATGAATATGACCATAAGGGGCACCACCGTGCAGAGTTATAAGGGATGGTTGGAAGGAATAGCGATAGAACTTCAAACGATATGGTCATCTACTTAGAATCAGGACTCGAATTGCGAACATCTCTTTGGCGAAAACGACGAAGATGGATTGTGGTGGACTTGAGATTGCGTACCGGTTTCACATTCACGGCAGTTTTCAACACCTTTATCGGTGAAAATGACCTGGTCAACTTGATTTTACATCGACAGGCAACAAGGAAAAGAACAAAGAAATTATCTAGTACTCTATTTTCATTAAACTTGCGTTGCTGTTTCCGGTCAAGGATAGTGACGCATGCCCCTACTTGGGAGGTTTATTTTTTTGCTCCTCGGCATATGTGGTATTAGCAGTCGTTTGGCAATACCGGGTGGTGGATGTTCAGTAGTTTGAGTCCGCTTATCTCCAATCTGTGAACTTAGCCAATACAAAACTATATGATAGCACCCAATTGTTTTACGATTTGGTTGTTCGAGCTATGACCATGCTTTTTAAGGACAAAAAGACCCGCTTCGATTTCCTTGGTTAGTTTGGCCGAGAACATTTTTTTTTGTTGATTTCTATTTATTTTTGCAGAAGTAAATACAAGTATATGCTCAAGTAGAATTGGTAAGTATAAGGATCATAGAAATTTCGTCCAGCCTCTCGACGTGGTTAAAATCTTGTGGTCTATTGGGGACTAGGTCAATCACAATTTGGGAATAATTATCGAAAAAAGGTTCTAAATTTATTGTATTTGTGCCAAATCAGTCATAAATCTTTTTGAGCAATGTAGCCCTAAATTTTTTGACAATTTGTAATGTAGTCAATAAATCTATTGTATCTATGCCAATTCAGTCCTAAACCTTTCAATTATGTCAATTTTGTCCTAAACCTTTTGACAATTAGCTAATGTAGTCAATCCGGTCAATTTTACCTGGAAATTACTGATGTGGACATTAGCCTACGTGGCATGGCTAGTGCTAACGTGGACAACTTTTTAAATTTATTTAAAGTTTTTATTTATTTTTTATTTGCCTTTTCCTTTTCTTTTCTTTTCCTTCTTTTATTTTTTTTGCCCTCGCTTGGCCTTGCCTAGATTTGGACAAGGCGGTCTCGGCCAGGGCCGCAATTAACTCGTCTAGATCTAGGTGAGGACCATGACCCATGCTAGCAGTTGGAGAGGGCTTTGCGGCCCTCGCCCTGTTGCTAGTAGCCCGGCTGATCACAGTTTAAAAAAAAAAGAAAAGAAAAGAAGAAAAAGAGAAAAAGAAAAAGGAAAATGAAATGAAAGGAAAAAGAAAGGAAAAAATAAATAAAAATTCTAAAAAAATTGTTTACATCAACGCTGGCTGTGCCACAAAGGACGGCCGACGTCCACGTCAGCGATTTTCGGCCAAAATTGACCGGATGGACTAAATTGGTAAAACATAAAAAATGTTTAGGATTAAATTGGCCAAATCGAAAAGTTTAGGACTAAATTAATACAAGTGTAATAAATTTAGGATTTTTTTGATAATTTTCCCTCACAATCTGTGATCATGTGTATCCCAACACTATTAACATATAATCAACTTGCTTTAAATGGATCTAATCATGGATCATGATCTCGGCAAGTATTTCCAACTTACAATATTACGATTAGCTAGGAAGCCACGTTATGCCGATCGAGGCAATTGCCCCACTCAATTCTCAAATCTTTTTATTGACAGTTACAAATTATATATGCATGTCCATCTAACGATACTACCTTTGGGGCGTTGATCCCACCAAACATTGAACACCAATTTACCCATAATAGATCCTAACAAGCCCAAGTGACAACAATAAAACCGTATTGATTCTTTGGATTATTTTGTGATTCAATTAAATGAAGTATAGAAATAGCAACTTGAATTGTTCTGCAGTTAGTTTCTTGACACGTAAATGCAATTTGGGTCGC